TGCAGACTTTGTTGTCTGGATATGTTTTCCTTAATAAATTTAATTCAAATTAAGAAAGCCTACTTTGTGTTTCCCCTTAACTTCCTGTTAGGAATTGTCAACTAATTTAGTAATTGATTAATCGTTAACTGGAGTGTAGAGCCTCTAAGGGATGCCTTTAGCTGACAGAGAAACCCACTCAGAGCAGTAATTACATCAAAATTGTAAAAGAAAATATGTAAACATTTTGCATTTAAGATTAAAAAAAGTTTTCTTCCATCAATATGCTCTTCTCAGAACTCCTCAGGTGGAAAAGTTTTAGTTTTGCCTGGTTTAAATTTGTAAAGCATCTTTTTCAATGAACCTTTGGCTATTTGATTATTAATTGATTAATTAAAAAATAATTGATTGTTCACTTTGCAAAATAATTGTTAGTTACAGCCCTAATTTGTACCCAGATTTCATTTTGATTTCAGTTAATAAGTATATGGAAGCCCCCTGATCTGATCCTTCAGACAGATTTAACTAGATCTAGTTTTTAAAACCTCTTTTAACTGAAATAATTTAAGATCCTTACAGTGTTGAGCTTGTTGAATGATACTGGTAATGCAGTAGCTGACCACACCTCACACAAATGATGATACCCAGGAGACTTAAGGTCACAGTGCTCGCTGGAAGCAAAGCAGTGTCGTATTAAAGAACGATCTGTGAGAGAAATCTAAAGTACATACAATATTTAGCAGCAGTATTACAGTTTGATATCCTAATATATGCAGAGCTAAAATATGACTCTAGTGGCAGAGTAGCTCATCTTCCATTTTGTCTTTTTATTCTTTTCTCCCCTTTCTTGTATCTTTGTCCAACGTCAGCATCATGCGATCAGCATCACTCTCCCTGTGCCCTCCATCACCTTAGTCTGCCTGTCAGTACGTGAGCCACAGACCCTGAACTGTTTTGCTCCTGCTTTATCCCTTCCTCTGTTGTTACATCTTTTTGGTCTCAACTTTGGTGTCACCTAATATTTCCTAAAATATAAAAGAGAGCCCAAAGAGATGGGTCGCTGAGTTGAGTGGGGATGTCGTAGATATTAGTCCCTCCCTTTTTCTTATTTCTCAAGCCATGGCTTCCTTTTGGCTCTTTTTCAATCTGGAGGATTGTCTAGAATGATGCAGAGCTTAGGTCTCTAACTACCACACATATAAAAAAAAAAATCCTGCTCACACTCCTCCCCCTCCCTATTTCTGTTCCCTGCACAAGAAGAAGAAAGAATGATAGAGAAGGAAGGAAGGAGGGATCCTGTGAGGAGAAAAATGGACAAGAGTCTGGGTGGGAGGGAGAGCAGTCGCCATTAGACATATGCAGAGTCAGATGCTATCCTCAGCAGCAGGGAGACTGAGAAACAGGGAAAAAGATTCCCGTCCCCAGGAGCTTTGCCGTTAGCTGCTCTGCTGAAGGTCTGCCTGCGATAGAAGGTATGAACATTACAGGTGATGGCTATGAGGAGCAGGTGGCTGTGTCTGCGAGGTGTTGCCGTTGCAGCAAGGCTTTCTGGTTATTCCTCGTTGTTATCCTAATGAAATCCAAGAACTTCAAAATAATTATGTTTATTCAGTAGTTGCTTTGAATGTTGCGTCTTTTTCATTTTGAGCGAATACAGACAGTCCTGGTTGAATGTGTTCCTCTATATTTAGTATACTGTGCTGTTCTGCAGCTGCTGTCTGAGGCATAAACAGTTTAGGAGTTTCCAGTCCAGTGTAATTGTCCACACATTGACTTATCTCGTCTATTTTCTGTAGCATTAGGCGTGTTACCAGGCAGCTGTAACACATGCACATTTAAGTTCATCCCTGGTTTCCAGACTGCAGATGATCTGGACCTTAATGTGGTTTTGTTGCCTCTGTTGTAAAGAGCGGTGCTGTAGCATCAGTTGTTACATCAGGGATAAGGACTTTAACAGCTTTAACTTCATCATATTTTGCAAAGGTTTTCTTTTTGCTTTAATGTTTTACCTTTTCTTTATGTTACAGTCAAAACCTTTAATTCATATTTAGGTTTCTAAGCTATAGAAACTGTAGATAAAGGTTACTATACTTTTAGGCAATTGGGGAACAGAATTAAACATGGCTTTCACTCTTTTTTCATTATTGATATCAGACAAGGATGGTGTTGATTTGTACATTGAGCTCTTCTTGAAGACAAGAACTGCAGTCACAGCTGTTCTTTGGGGCAAAATTTGCCAGATCTCTTTTTCTAAAAAGGTCAAACTCAGTTCCATTGTAGCTCTGGTTACATGTTTTGGGTCATCTTCCGACAGGAAAGTAGAAAGATGCTCTAGTTTAATCTCTTTTTTAGCTATGATTCTAGGATTACCTGTACTCCTCCCCACCCCTCCTCCAATAAGCTCTGAAGGAAAGGAACCCAAGCATGACACCGCCATGACACAGTTATGTTACGCCATGACATGTTAATGGGGGTGTTTAGCACCAGTTTTCTGTCAAATATAATAAAAAGTTCATATGTGGTCTCATGTGAGCAAAGGAGGTGTTTCTAAACATTTGCTCTGTTACCTTCTAGGCAAATGCCAAAACAAACTTTGTCTACTTTATTTTAGGATTAGCTTTTTTCTTGACTGTTTTTTTTTTTTTTTTTTTTGATTTTATGAAATATTACACTAGTGGCGTACAAAGCCAAGAATTTTTCTTTTTAGTAGATTCTCTCCCCTGGTATCTTGGCTGCTTCTCTGATCAATACTCTAACTGTCTACCACATCAACTTAGGTGCTTTTTAAGGCTTTATTCATTGTTTTCTGGGGTTATAACCCACTTATAACCCTTTTTTTGGCTCATCGTTGCATCTGACCGTTCTGCTGTGCTCCTTTGTTAACATGAAACTTTCTATTTACACATATCTGCTTATTAAGTGATTTTTGCATTTGATTAGTTGTGCTTAATTGTATAGGAATATATTTATACATTTATTTATTTTTTTACACTGCTCTGCCTTTTTTTGCCCTTGCATGTCTAAAAATATCCTCCGTTCACCTTGGACTGGTTGGGTTGCTAAGGGATCCTTCTCAGTAAAAAGCATCCTCTTCCTTTTTCTACTCTTTACGTGTAAAATTTTGCAAAGCAGATTTGAATTACCTTATCTTTCCCAACCAATGAAAAGGCATAATCAGGGCCTTTCTGGCTTCCCATTCAGTGGTGAAAACGACGACATGGAATAATTTTTTTTTTTCTGCTGCAAGTCAATTTAAAATGTTTAATTTTGTTTATTACTCTTCCCATTCCTAATCTATCTCTACATCTTGCATCTATCTTGCATCGCACCACGTTTGCATCAATAAATAAAACAACCTGGTACCGTTCAAACGCCGACCCTCTCATTCTTCACACCACAAATGATCTGAAGCATGCAGATTAATTTTGGGGTTTTTTTTTGGATCCCATGTATATCAACCTAAACTAATTGCACTTCAATTTTATTGTTATGTGTGTGGAATTGGAAGCACACATTGTTAAAGGTATAGTGGAGGATTTTCGCGAATTTTTGAAAAGACCCGCCCTCTCCACTATTAAAAAATGTACATGCACAACCCTGTACTCGCTCCCGAGAGGGAATAGCTAATAAATGCATGCGAGAGCGTGCACAAGCACATTTTTCCTCATGCACGCCCTGTTTAAAAGTTGCTGTTCTTATAGCTCATACAAGCTTACTTTGCCTGAACATCCGCCCTTACCCCTAAATTCCTCCATCACTATATAGAGTGGGGACTATATAGTGGACTCTATAGTGAGCTCCGTTAACTGATCGCTGTCTGGTAGCGACAGCCTATGGCGACAGTGGGCTGCTGTGACAGTAAATCTCATAATCCTTTGCAAGGAGAGCTCTATGCGCAAAGTATTGTGGGATATATCCGCCTCTTTTGAGGCATTTATTTTCTTCTCATACACTTCGTAGACACTTTTTCTCCAACGACCCTCGGCCATTTTCAAAGAACCGCAGTGAGATAGGTGAGCACAGTGAGAAAACTTTGCTCACCACAGATATACGCCTGAAAGTGCGCATGCGCCAAAAAAGGTAGCTAACGACAATTAAGGTCGTCCTCCATACCTTTAACCCCACAAACATAATTAATGATAGCATATTTGGTGGTAAATGTTAGGGGTGATGATGAGCATGAAGTAAAGGAGGTTGGAGATATTGGACAGGACATGTAGAAGGTTTATCGACGTTTATAAAAGCGCACACACACTATATGAGGATTTCACACAGGTCGTTAGCCTGTGTCCAGACCTGCTCTCTGAATTCCCCCAGCTTTATTTATCTCAGACTCAACGGTTTCCTGTTTCACGAGCTGCTTCTGAGGAGACCTGTGATCAGCAGCCACCAAACGAACACTCATACATGAACACACACCCGCGTTATATTGTTTTGACAGTCTAAATTAAGTTTGTGGCTTTTTTTTTCTTTTTGAAGTGATGTTCTTTCATATCCCGGCACTGAAAAGCGATCCTGTTGACTTTCAAGTCTTGAAATAACTCCCACTCATGTTTAGCATTGTGGTTATTTTTATAACCAAGAGACCTAAAAAGTGCTAATAAAAGTTGATATAAAAGATCTATATATAGATGATTATTCACACCTGTCTATGGAAGTGTTTGCGTAAAAGAGACATCTTTGTCACTCTGTAGCTGTTGACTGATCTTTATTTAATGTTTTGTTTGGACAAACATCCAAAATGACTGACTTGCAGTGTTTATGATCATCAGCTCATTTTCATCATTTAGCCATCACTTCTTCAGTAATTGCAAAGGAATAAAAATGTTTTTCTGATATTAATTGTATTTTGTCTTTTCTTCCTCTTCGTAGCCACCATGGATCTCTTGACGCTTGCTCTGGTGGTTCCCCCCCTCCACTGACCTCTCCTTCCTCATCTTCCCCATATCTCCACCTCCTCAGTTTCTCCCCTCTTCCTTTTTAACCCCATCCCTCGCAACCTCTCAGCCCGTCCTTACATCATGGCAGGGGAGAAAGGTCCTAACAAGCGGAGCGCCATGGACATCAAACGCCTGGCGAGTCTCATCCAGAGAGGGACGGGCCGCCTGCTGGTGATCGACAGCAGGACCTTTTCTGAGTACAACGCGTCGCACGTGCAAGGCGCGGTCAACGTCTGCTACTCCAAGTTGGTGAAAAGGCGACTGCAGCAGGATAAGGTGTCTGTTACCGAGTTGCTGCAGCCCAACTGCAAAGTGAAGGTGAGTTATAGCTACACCTCAGTTGATGCCACAGATTAGAAACCCTCATGGCAACAGGGTGGACACTATCTGTGACAAGTTCAAGCTTGTAGACGAGGGCGACACTGCTGAGATTTGGAGATCCCCCTCCCCCCAGCCCTGCTGGTAGCATCTTATAAAAGCTAAATAGTGAGGCTGATATCTCTGTATTGTTGTTTTTAAGGAATGTAATATTTCATTTTATTACTTCCTAAAAGACTATTAATGGTGCTGATTTCCTTTTTTTTTACTATAAAACATTAATTTCTTTCCATTAATACATCAAAGCAAATGTGCCTGTTAAAAGTAAAACCTTGTTGCTCTATTAATCAGAAATCTTCAAAGCTTACGGTTCTTCACCCATTTAATTAAAGCGAAAAACATCCAGTTTTTTCTTGTTTGACCTGCCAACCACTAATTAGAGTAGTTTAATGGAAATCATTTGCAGTAAAAAGGTTGCGGTGATTAAATGATTAGATTCCTCTTCTATCATCTCTAAAAGTTAACTTTTTGTCTTTTTTATCGGCTTATTTTGCGGGTTTTCTTCACTGTAGCAACAATAACAGAGTCGAGAAGATACAAAGGAAATGTCGGTGAATGTTTGTGAGGTTTATACAATCATTTGCTTGTCATCAACTTATTGATGCTTCTTTTCATTCTGTATCGGCACCAACTTCCATAATTTCTTGTCTTATTAAAATGTCGCAAAACCTGACGTATTAACTGAGTAGCTCCATTGCTGTTTGGTTTGTTTTGTTTATTTGGATTACAGTGAGCTTCTGGATCAGGCTCCCCTCTTTAAGCCTGCATCATATCGGGGCTATATTTGGCAGGCAGGCTTATTGTAGGTTTACTGCTTGTCAGTGGCCCTGAAAACGAATCCTCCTATTTTCCATGACTTCCTTCCCTGAATATGGCTGCCTTTAATTTGACCCATAGCCTGTCCAAATTTTTTTTCTATCTCAAACTGTAGGATGTTTTAGAGGGGAAACTTTAGCCGGAAGGGATGGGAAACTTGTTTGTCCTCCTCGTATAGTTAATACTTGCATGTAGTTCACAGCAGCCTGACAGGACTCAGTAAACATGACGACAAGTCACCAAAGGCAAATTCAGAGGTTCTTCCTGGTTCCTTGTGTTATTTTTAGGTTTTTAAGCCTGTTACACCCAGGAGTTTAGACAGGTGATGTAAATTTAGTTAGTAGGTGTGGCACAGAATGACACAAAATGGTTGTTGTTTTTGTTGTTTAACACTTGTGCTGCCGGGAGCAGAGCTTTGTTTGTGTAAAACATAATTAGGACACAATATAAAGACCTGATTGTAGTTTCCTGGATTTTTGTCTGATTCACAACTCAAAAACTCACCCTGCTAATCAAAGATCACAAACTAAGATTATTGAGAGAGCAGCACCAGGACACTGATGAAGACTCTTTCTAAAGGGAATTTACTAAAGCATTTATTTATGTGTTTAGAGCCTGCATGTATAGTTTTCACAAAAAAACTAAAGATTTGTATAACCTAAAATGTACAGATTAAAACAAATCCAGAATTGCTCATTGCTCACACAAATGCATTGCTTCAAATATTTGAGCTAATTTGTTATATGCATATACTGATATATTTGATTTATTTAGAATGCCTTGATGAACTCAGCTTCTCCTGCTCTCCCTCCTCAGTGAGAGGTTGTCTTTTTATTTAAATACTAATACTGCAGCTTTAAGTATTGGCTGGTGCTGCTATTGACCTGATACGATATCTGCATGAATCATATATAATCTAATCACTTTGTATGGGATGTTAGAAAAGGTTTAATCAAGTGATATAAGCAAACAACAATAGATATCAGCATAACTGGCCCCTTTATTATTAACCAATTGATTATGTAAGCCTGAAACATAAATGTAAGAATATTCTACAGTTGAATAGAATAAAAAATGATAAATTAGAAGATGGGAGATGTGTGCACGAGAAGTTTTGCACTTATCTGCAGTTTTTCCCACTTTAACCAGAAGCACAACCACACTGCACATAGCTACGACTCATGCAGCATAGCGTCTGCTGTTGTATTGCTCTATGTGAAGGATAGAAATACTCGAGTTGTGTGCTTTTGTTAGAGATTGTAAATGCAAGCCAAGAAAATATTATTTTTTGGCTGATATCGACCAATTTCCAAAATCAAAATCGAGTCAGAACATCCCTAGTTGTTTTTCCTTGCAGGACATATCCTGCAGCTCATATAGTTAAATTGACCTCCACCAGCAGATAATTGGGCTGCTGTGCATTTTTCAAGACAAGAAAATCAACATTGAGGAGAGCCCGACAGAAAGACCTGAAGGAGTTAAAACGTTCAGCAGCTGCAGAGATGTGATGTCAGATGTGTTGTGAATTTAGCTTGAGTTTCATTTCTCGGCTGCCAGCTTGATGTAGAGTGTGTTGGGTTCCTCTCTGAGTGAGGCAGATGTCACACTGTGGCACCCCGCGGAGCCATGCTTCCTCCTTTCTCTCACTTTCAGTCCCATGGTGGCTCAGTCTTTCTCTCTCTTTCAGCTGTAGTCTGCGGCCTCACCACACCATCCCATTCCTTCACTGCTTGTTTCCTCTCCCTGTCCAGTGTTGCCCCATGGTCAATTTGTTGTTATCCATTCCCCACCCCCTCAGTAAAGAGGATAAGGCTTGTGATTAATGCTAAAGCTGGATAAGGCTGGAACTAGCTGGGTGAGAAGGGCGGGACTGACAGACCCAGACTCCTTTGTTATAGGCTAAGCATGACATCATCTCTTTGTTCGTCCAGTGGCAGGCCACAGGTTGGGCACGTGCAGGCTCGCCATGTGGCGTCAGAGCCAGCTAACCCCTCGCACACAAATGCACACAATCCTCGCTTACCCTCACATGTCTCTGAGCATCCCCAGGAGCCGCCTCAGCCAACCAAGACACCATTGTGGCTCTTTGTTTCGGAAGTGAATGCAGGAAGCGGGAGAGAGCCATTGAGGGTATTCAGAGATGGGCTGCAGCCTCCGCCTCCTGCCCGGCCGCCTCTCGCCTTACATCCCATTGAGAACTAATAGGCTGCCTCCCCAAGGCGCTGCGCTCATACTCTTTTACTGAAGCTCTTGATTTTTAGCTTAAACCGAATAAACACGTTTGACCAGTGTAGCACCTGTTAAAACTATGTGCTGTTTTTGCCCATCACATCATATCTCCACATCCCCTCCTACTGTAGATTAATGCCTCGGTGAATGTAGGTCAGAGACAGCTGGAGACTATAGGTAACATTGTTGAGGACCAGAGTTGGGGATGCCATAGGCTTTGTAGGGTGGATCTCCCTCTGGTTCGCTCCAACAGGCTGGAAGCCGGGCAACTGGTTTCTTGGCTTAAGCCTGGATAATCTCCAATGCTGTGATGGGGCAGCCAGCTAGGCGATTCGACAAATGGACCAGAGGTTTTCCACTACTGCTGCAGCTCTGATGTGTGGAGGTCGAGCCTTCCTTTCTAATTGATTCGTTTCTTTTTTCCATGGTGGAATTATGAAGTTTCTTGAGGACGGGCAAATAAAAATTTTCCTATTCATTTGACATTTTGTCTATAAACGTTATGGTTTAGCCTACTGATAAAGTATTTTCAAATGTGTAAAATAGACTGGTATGACAACACATTTGAATCATAAAAGAAATATTAGCACTTATTGAAATATTTTGCTTACATTGAATAATTCTTCTATTGAACCGGAATAATGCACAATTTTTATCTGGATTTATTGATAAAGAAACCGTTTCTTATCTTACTGTTTAACTAACAGTAACTCTGGTTCTCTGATAAGTTCACTTATAGGTCAATGACATGGAAAATAAATAGTCTAAAAAATAAAGAGTCGAGCCGCTTCTCAGCCATATCAACAATAATCCGTAATGCACTAAAAGGCATCTCTCTAATACCTATAAATATGAATATCAGTGTGTTGTGGTCTGCGTTCTCAAAAATCAATATATGTTTGAGCACATCATTTTTGGAAAATTGGCCTATGAAAGTGTAACTGTAGGTCCGTGAGCCACCACCCAAGTGTCCCAATCAGCCGTCATCGCCTTCCCCGCCTGACGTCTGCCCGGTAAGACAGGCGGGAAGAAGCACGGTAAGACAGGTGGAGGGAAGCATACCGTCACCGGCTGGCTCCCTGCCTCCGTCCGCCAGGGTTCCCGGACCAGCCCTGTAGCTGAGGGCTCGGTTCAAGTGCCCGGTCCGGCACAGAAACCCACCCAAATCGGGTCACCCTACTGATAGTACATCTATGATATGACACAATAGAGATCCTGTCTTTGTTCCTAGTTGCTGGATTAGCTAAATGCTGTGCTAAACAAGTATTAATAAGTGACCAGTTCATGTATTTACGCAAAGAGGAAGATTACCATTCTTTCCACTGATGACACACACCCTATGTGAGGCTTATCCTCCTCTGAAATAGGGGGATTCATGTGACACATGATGGGAAGTCCAGAGTTGAATCAAGATTTAGCAAAAGGAAGAGAAAAACTGTTAACTAGTATTTATTCAGCACAAAGACATTTATATATGGAAAACACCACCAGACTCTTTTCTTTTTCTAATTTTCTTCCCTATTGCTCTACAGACAAACCTATCCTGTAACTACCGGTACAATACAGTGATGGAATCACATGAGTCTTCAGTGTGTCATTCAGCTTGGCAGTAACAGCAGAACTGAGAACTTTTTTCTGGTGACTCATAGTGTGGATTTTTTCCCCAGATCACCCAGAGGGCAAACACTGGGAATTTTTCTGAAAGTTTCATTCACATTTCCTCTAAGCCTATAATATTATACCAGAGCTAGAAATGTAGCATATTAGCTTGGGTGAGCCAATCAATGAACGTTTGCTTTCGTGACTCCTCTGTTTAACATTTTCAACAACTTACTTCGATCCTGTTGATTTGTTTTGAGATATGTGAATATTGAATATAATTAGTTAAGGGTTTC